AGCTCAGCTCAGCTGGCATGTTCCTGCCAGACGTACATCACCTGGACCTGGTCCCGGGAAGCAGCAGATAAGCCCAGACGGGAACAGAAGGACTGGGCCTGAGAGAAATGTGAAAACTGAATGCAGCCCAGGATCTTGGGGCCTCCATTGCTCTACAGCAAGCATGTCAAACTCGAAGGCTAACACGGGCCAAATAAACAAGGTTTAAGTTTCTGTGAGTCACAAAAAAAACCCCCACAAGCTTCAATTTTCATAGAAACGTAGGTTTATTTAAAAAAGTATAGTATAAAATAGAATAAGAGCAATGATAAAATTAATGTTTTCTTACACACCGTTATATTGGCTAGGCCACAAAAATATTCGTTGTGGGCCGCATGCAGCCTGCGGTCCACAAGTTTGACATGCCTGCTCTAAAGCTGTCGTGGGACACTAGAGGGCATCTCCGTGAGGTCTGTGGGTTAGGCGTGGAATTGTTTCAGTGTTCGTTTTCTGACTTTGGTGATTACACTGGTTATGTAAGAGCTCCTTCTTTTTAGGAAAACACACTGGCGTGTTTAGAGGAAAGGGAGAGCGGGAATCAGAAAGGAAGGGTTTCCCTAGGAGGCGCGTCAGCCCCTCTCAGCCCGGACTTCTGAAGGAAGCTGGTGGGCTCCGCAGCAGCTCCTGGCTGAAGAAGCCCCAGCGGAGAGGTTTAAAGGAAGGAGGCTGGACTCAGCCTCTACCAGAAAGCGAATGGGGCTCCGTGAGCAGGAGGAGCCACAGGATCCCTCGCCTGGGTTCCCCACCTGCACGACATGGGGGTGGAGGGGACGGCCTCTGTGACCCTTTCTGCTCTGAGGGAACTGGTCTCCCTCTGAGACTCGGCAGTGGCAGCATCTGGATAAGCCCCTCGGAGCTCTCCCTGAGCCCCATGAGAGAGGCTGTGGCCCGGCCCCTGAAAGTCTGGTTTTCGGAGCTCCTTCCTGGTGTAGGCACCTCCCCTAGGTCCTGTGTTCAGACTTCTAGAACATGGCCTTGATCTCTGCCGACACTGGGAGTTTCCGCTAAACCCAAAGTGGTTTGCTCGGCCGTTCATTCCTGCAGCATGTGGGTGGGTCGCCTACTGTGTCCCAGGCCCGCACGAGGCACAGGGGGTCAGTTAGGAGTCGCAGGGCCTGCCACAGAGCAGCGTGAGCACACACCACAGCACCTGCCCGGGTAGTTTTTGTAAAGTCACTTTTCCTTGTGACCAGAAAGTGGTAGATAAAAGAACCAGAAGCTGCAGCTTCCCTCCCAGTGAGTTGTATGAACTTGTATTAGCCAAGTGACCCCTGTGCGCCTCAGTCTCCTCACCTGTGAATGGGGATAGCAATCGCACTCTGCTGCCACCTGCCCCCTGCAGAGCTGTGGCCCTTCGACTGCAGAATTCCGTATAGTGCCTTACAGACACTGTCCTTAGTCCCTCAGCGTGCACGTATGGCAGTGGCTTAAAAAACACACAGAGAGAACGACACTGTTGTCTCTGCCCTCTTCTAAGCCTAAAGGAGAGAGCAGGCGAGGGCCTGGCAGAGTCAAGGAGAGTCCAGCC